CTCACCGCCTGATCGCGTGCAAACACCAGAAAGAAAGAAAACGAAATAAGAAAATGTCGAGAACGCGTCGCGAGGGGAGCCAGCGCAGCGGTTCGAGTGGCTCGAAATAAATGTAACGCGTACCGAATATGTAAACCGCAAATCGACCATCGTCGTTCCAACGGCGCATCCCTATAGGCCAGAAATTCGGTTCATGTCCCTCCTCACACCCTCGGCCCTGAGCGGGGGGCACAGCTACCCCTGTCGAAAAGAGAAGCCCCTCTGCTAGAAAGCAAAACCAGTCTCTATTCCTTTCTCCTCGTGAACGTCCCGAGCATGGCTGCGTCGGACGAGGGGGGGCGAGGGGGCGAGGGGGCGAGGAGGCGAGGGGGGGCGAAGGGGAGAAGAGGAAACTGCACGCAACGATCCCCGCGACGCCTGTACCTATGTATGCACCTATGGATGAAAATAATGTAACACGCTGCCATTGAAATCTATTGACGCGACACCTTAAGTGCAGCACATGTGCGATGCGTCTATTCTGTTGGCGACTTCCGACCCGGAGGAGGCCGTCTGCGCACCCCACTTCTGCGCAAACGCAAAATGGCGTTGTCTAAACAACCGCAGGCAAACGCATTCACCGAAATCTCCGTGGTTCCATTAACATCTTTAGTGTTCTCGATACCTGCCCAATTGAATCTTTTATTTTCAATCACCGAAATGCTTGCATACGTGTCGAGTACAATACAACTAATAGAATCCCACTTTTCCTCGTTAATTCGGATAACAGAGGTTACGATGTTCGGTAAATCGAAGGTCCCGGAGCATACATAAATTGTTTCAAACATGGCCAGAATCGAATAACGCTGATACAAGATGATTTATATGGTTCTTATTTTATTTATTACTGGGAATTGAGTACATATTCTGGAATAAATTATGGATAATAGAGACTTGAAGTTCGAATAAACGAGGTTCTATTCCAGTTCCCACGATTTCACTCCCTCTTTAAGTCCCCATTTTTTATCATTGGATATTGTTCGAATCGTTACAGAAATGTTTGACATTCTATATTGCAATTTCATCGAAATCACCATAATTCCAGATTTGTTTTCTTCCAAGTCACAAATTTGCTATATCTTTTAATGTCAAAATATTCTACTACAGGCGTTCCGATCAAACGAACCGTATTTCAGAAATGGCTTCGAAGCAAACAAAGTTTTTTCACGCATCGGAGGACAAAATCAACTAGGAAAGACCGTTCTCGATTCGACTGCGACTATGCAAGCATATTTGCATGGAATGATAAATAATAAGTGGACAATTTACAAAGGCGGTAAGCACTTTCCAACATACACGATTATATAAACTACATATTTGTCCCCCGTCGGGCTCGTATAAGTGGAGTCCCACTGCAACGTAATAATTTTAACGCCGTAACGTCAGAATAGTTTCATCGTAGCAAGGAAGAACGCGAAACTAAAAAATGATCTGACTTATTATCATGGTCAAAGATCGATCTACCCTTACGGAAACATAATTGTAATAATAAAAAGTGTCTTATCCTATCTCTCGATACGAACCTACAAAAATTTGATTTTTAATAAACACCACAAACATTTTATTTTACGTATAAAAGGAAACAAATTATATAATATATTGTAAAAATATACTTTAAATTTAAGTCAACATCAGTGGAAAAGAGAAACTTTCCGTTCTACCGACGATTCGAGACGCGCTCGCGTTGCAGGAACTGCGCTCTTTTAAATCGTATCTTCTATAGATAAGCCAGAGCAATCATGTAGTATGTATTAGTGAAATGGTATTGCAAGGGCTCTGAAAGGCATCACGGCAACCCTAGCCAGGAACTCTGCGAATAACGCTGACGACATCGACAATAATGTAATAGCGCAAAGTGATTCAGCGAGTTACCGACTGTACTTACTAAAATGCTAGGAACAGTTACGATCTTTACGCGTTTTCCAGATCGCGCGCTCACTTTGTAAAAACCATTCGGTTTCGATGCGCTCGAATTCCGAACTTTGCGTTTCCACGAAAACGAAGGAACCGCGAGGAACAAAGTTTACGCGGCAAATTCAAATCCGTCTGGTTTTGCTCACGTAAGGTTAAAAATTCAATGTGGAATCGTTGCATGGACGAAATATGGCTAACAATTTTGAGTGTTCTCGAGGAAGATAGAGAAGAATATCTATCGCGTAGACGGAGAAGTAACCACGCGCATAGTACCACTTGCCACTTGGAGCAATTGACCACGCAAGTGTTTACCGTCCCCTTCGACTACGTGATGCTATGCAATATTCGTTTAGGCTTGCTTTATACATATATCACTGTCAGCTGTTATCGGTTCACTGATAATGCGCATTGGCAACCTGTTAATATATTCGAGCAATTACCAGCGGTATTCGCGAGTCGTTGCCAGGAGCGATCGGATAAATCCACGACACGAGCAGCGATACATAATAAAATATATTAACCAGGATCGGGAATAAAGAATCTCCCACAAAATAGGCTGCTTCGTTGTATGGAAATTTTAAGAAGAAACGAGAACATGGAAAGTAAAAACGTAGGACGAATTTGTGTAAAATGTAACAACGGTATTCTCGTTGTTTAACTTTGTTTGCAACACGCGTAGGAAATTGTCCGTGCGTAGGAAAATTGAATCGTTAGGCTAGAATTTCTGTACCGTTAGCGTCTCGAGCGCCTCATTGTGCGAATGCAAGCTTTCGCAGATGGCGTCCATAAAGCAAGTAATAGTTACTATTACTTTTATCGTGAAACATTATTCACATTTCCATCGAGCAGCAGGCGTATATTTATAAATGTTTTTGGTAATCTGATTTGTCGCTATTTTCAAAGTATGACGTTGTAAAAAGGAATTATTTGTTGTAAATTTGAAGTTACTTAAAGGTAAGCGTGAGTCATGTACAGTAAATATGTTTAGAGAAATAATAAATTCAGATTTAAATGACAAGACTTTGTTCATATTAAAACGATTGATCCAACGATCAGTTTCCAAAGAATAGCGACTCGTGGTGTACGGATACAAGTTCGAGTGCTCGAGCTACAGGGTGGAAAAGAATGGTCGAAGGTGTAAGGATGCAAAACACGTCTGTCGGTGGAGAATCCGCGCGGGTCACAATCTCATCTATCGATCCTAATCGGTCTGTTCTCCCTTTCTTTCTCCCTCTCGTACATTTCTCGGCCCTTGAAACGCTTAAACCCCCCCGTTGGACGTACGCGAGCGTACGCTATTATCTTATTTACGTCTCATTGTCTGAATGTATCATACCAATATCGAGCGGCCGCTCTCGTACCGAGCAACAAAACTCTTCTGAATCGGCTCCACGCGAAAACAGTCCGTTTAAATTTTTCATCCGGATCATCGACGACGGTCGCTGGTTTCACGCCAAGATCGCTCGCGTGCCACCCCCGTAAACTCTCGCGACAATTTAGGTACGACGAAAGGTTCCCGACTGTCTTTCGACGGCGAAACTTTTCTATTAATATTCGAATATTGGCCTGGCGTAGTTTTACCTTCGGGTAAACATGCGAGTATCGATTTTATTCGTTTATAGAACTTGTCGATATCGTTTAAGCGTAGCAAAGAATTACGTGCGCGTTTACGTTACGAAATACATATTTGTATTTGAACTGAAAATCTAACTCGTGTGAGATTTCTTTTAAACGAATTTATTTTGTATCGCGTGGTGAGAAAGCGTAATGTAGAAAGTGGAACGTAAGTTTCAAAGTGAAAATTGTTTAATATATTTTTGTAATTCCGAGTATTCGGGAAATAAAATGAAAAAATGTTGCGTGTTTTTCTACAGACTAACGTAGAAAACTCGGCAGGGAACTGGTTAATGGACACACAGTCTAGAAACATTTAAAACACGTTTGCGGAACACGTTGCTCCTAAAATAACAAACTGATCTGTGGATGAAGTGCAATTTCGAGCACTCGGATATTATACGACTCTTTCCTCTGCCATATTATCACGAATTTATTTTTCTAAAAACATCGCGTTGATCCTCTATCGCTTCAAGTTTATTTCATCTTCGAAAACAAGGAATTCATTCATAATCATTTGTACTTTGAAAAATGTCTCGGTAGAACGAAAAAAAAGAATGTACGCGCAGAGGAAAAGGCGAGGCCGAATTCTGTTTTATTCGAGGGAAGAACCAGAGGCTCGCAGAGTGAAAACCGAAGGGCCAAGGTACTCTCGCGAAGGCCGCCAGAAACATGGTTTATGGTTATATTGTAGCAGTAAAGCAATTTCCTACTTTCAAGTCTCTCGACCTCGGTTCTCCGGGGTCTGGCATTATCCGTTGACTTTGCCGTTGGAAAACTTTTATTCCGCGCTATGTTTTGACAGCCGGCGGGTTCTGCTACTTTTACGGGTCTCCGATGGACGGAGGTTCGTGAAATTTATTACGTCGTAGTCGACGTGGCCGCGTTAACGTCGGGGAAAACAAATACGTATACGCTCGATGACTTCGATGTCACCGAGATCAGAAACGAGGGTGGGGGATAAGGATCGAGGGGGTGATTCCGTTAGAAACGATCTTACAAGATTTCTAGAAAAGTTTTGAACATTTATTTCGACGTTGGTACGCGCGTCACTCGTATGTATACATATATACATATACGAAATCTATATATACTTTTACGAATAACAATCTTCGACTATGTACATAATTTGATTAGGGTTCGACGGACCGCGAGACGATTTTCCGTTTCTCGGTTCGCGATCGACGACGAGAGATCATTCGAACGAATTCTATTTACAACGATATTATATTACTGTGCTGCGTGTACCGCAGGCATGGGGACCACGAATGATCCGAGGATATAATATACATATCGCATTTTGGTATCGGTTCGCGTCGCTGGCGTTCTAAACGCCGTCACGGCGCGTTTAAAGCTATTATTTACAAAGAAAAACTTCTCTACGCGAGAAATAAAATTAAAAAAAAAGTTAGACGTACGCGTAAAAACCGGGGACGAGAAAGTTTCCTCGCGGATTCGTGTGAAAGCGGATCTACGGGAACGACGGGATCGTTCAGCTCTGTCTGCCGGTGAGCACGGTGATCGGTTTGAGAAGCAGCTGCGGCTGACTATGGCCCAGAGATCTCGGCTGCTGTACCACCGCGGAATTGCAGATCGATACCGGGGGCGAGTGAGGCGACATCGGTTCGGGACTGCTGCCCGGCGACGCGGTGCCCGACGTCAGCTGACCCAACAGCGGGGCCTGACTCACGTGGTACCTGGCCGGTTGCTGATTGTGCCCGAACACGGTGGCGTTGGTTTGGTGTTGCTGGTGCGCCGCCAAAGACCTCAGGGTGGAGTAGAAGTCGTAGGGGCTGCCGGATACGGGGATCCCGGAGGCGGTGATGCTGGTCGGGTAGCCGGCGGCGGTCGGAGGCTGGAGCAACCTCTCCATCGAGAAGGGTCCGTGTGCAGGTGGGGCGGCCGTCGCTGGGAGAGGCTGGGGCTTGCAGGGCAGGCTGCTGGCCGTGCTGGTCGCGGCGCCGGGTAGCAAGCTGGCCGGGTAGCCCGCGGGGGTGGAGTAGGCGCCGGTGGCCGTCGTATATCCAGCGGCTCGATGCAAGTACGGGAGCGTGTAGAGCGACGTGGGCCATCCTGGGGGCGCGTACGCCGTGGGGTACAAGCCGCCGAGGACGACGCTCCTCTTGAAGGCGGCGAGACGCGACCTGGACGCGGCGGTGGTCCTCCTGCGTAGCTTGCCCGTGGTGCCGCCGATGAACACGTCCTCGGAGCTGGGGTCGAGCATCCAGTAGTTTCCCTTGCCAGGGTCGTCGTAATGGCGCGGCACTTTAACGAAGCACTTGTTCAGCGAGAGATTGTGCCTGATGGAGTTCTGCCAGCCCTGCTTGTTGTTCTCGTAATACGGAAAGTGGCGCATTATGTACTCGTAGATGCCGTTCAGGGTGAGACGCTTCTCCGGGCTCTGACGGATGGCCATCATGATCAGAGCGTTGTAGCTATAGGGGGGCTTCTCCGACTTCTTCTTCTCGTCCTGTCGCTCTTTCGAGTCTTTGTGCTCGCTGGTGATGACGGCGGAGGCGTTCGTGGAACAGTCCAACGGCGGCGTCTCGGTGCCGCCGTCACCGGTCACGTCCAGGTCGCTCGAGTCCTCGCTGTCGTCTACGTGGCTGATGTCCGGCGACGCCGATCGACTGTCCGCCGGCGCTGGCGTAACGGCGCAAGCTTCCGGTAGGATGCTACGGATGCTGAAGTTGCTCTTGAGAGTGGTGCGCGGCGGCGGCGGCGAGGCTGTGACCGTGTGCTGCTCGCCGGAACCTTCCATGTTCACCATTCTTTCGACTCGTAGCACTTCACGAAATCGTGGAACGTCCAACTTTGATCTCAACTCAACGACACAAATCGAAAAAACCTTTCACGAGCTGTTTGTTTTTTGGTTTAAATAAGTCCACACAGCACTCTTTACGAAAGGACGAACTCGGTCCTTTTGCTTTTTCTGCGCTACTACGAAAAACCTGTCGGCGTCACGAACGATCGATCGATGTACTCCGAACGAGCGGCGTCGCGTATTTGACGTCATCCCCGCCACGTACCGTATTTATACGGCTACGTTGGCCACACCCACCGGGCGTTTGACGTATGCCGACCGAGGGAGAACGGACCAATCGACGGAGCCGTGGCCTGCCTCCAGCGGACGACGTCCTTTCGCCCCACCACAATGTTTTGCGGCCAATGTTTGACAGCAAACAGTGCAAACAGCGTGGATTTACTACGGGGGCAGGGATTTCGAAGGTGGCCGATCAGACTCCCGGGGGCCGATGGTGGGGAGCGCAGCCGCAACTATACTCGTAGCTGCGAGACCAGCGTATACAAACAAATCCAAACGCGATAGCTGCGTTTCTACGCCCTCTTAGGATACGCGTGCGCGCGCGCGCGCGAATACGCTCTCCGCCGGGGACCGAATTGCTCGTCCACGCGTGAACACAACCCAACGAGAGGAGGTAAATGCCCTTTGTTGTTGCTGCTCCAGCCGCTACCAATGCTCCTCGATCGAATCGTAGAACAGTTGAAATAGAGATGCCACCCTACTGCTACGCGACGCGACGCGACGCGACGCGACGCGACGCGACGCAACTACCGCAACGCCGAACGAGTTCTCGCAATTCTCGAGACTTCCTCGAGACTGTCTGAAATTGTTCTCGCACGGTTTCTCAGACGACTGAATCGATTAACCCTCCAATTCATTCGAGAATGCACGGTTTAAAAAGTAATTTCGAATTTAAATGGAAGCTGCGCGAATTGTCGATGCATGGGAACCTGCGAGACGGTATTCTTCGACTCGAGTTCGAAACTACGATTCAGGGGATCTTTGGTATATCATTACAAGATAACAATATGAATACATATCATTCCAAGTACATAGATATCGTATTAAAAAATAAATTCTAGAGGGATGATCAAACTTGAGCCCCTTTTTCTTGAGTAACTTTTAACCGTTTCCAAGCGCCAATTAAGTACAGGTATCGTAAACAGGTATCGTTTCACATTCCCAATAATAGTAATTCTAGCATAAATATTGCAATAAACGAGATCGTGCAAAAATTCTTACGAGACCCCTAAGCGAAATTGAATTTCGAAGAACAAACAGTACCTTCTAAGTGGCGGTAATGACCTTCCCCGTAACTAGCGTCTAAATTACGGATATTCTAAGGGCCAGATTACGAAGCGGCGGTGGACGAAGCAGAGGTCGTATAATCCGTTTGCCTAAATCGGATAAACTTAGCCTGGGGCCATTGTTTCCTGGCATTGTGGTTTAACAGGATTAATTCGTCAACATCGAAGCTACGCGTCGAGGTTCTCTTCACCTGCAAGGACGACTGCGACCCTTCCGTTCCTGGGTCCATTGTTATTTAGCCTTTAAGCTCGATCTTACATATCGGTCAGCTTTCGGAGGTAGACGGTACTCGTGGACGTAATTCCCGAATTTCCAGTTACGATACAATGGTTCGGAAATACATTAAGATTTATTAGAGTTACGTCTATTCAATATCAACTTTGAAGAAATAAACATTAACGCGTCCACTGCCACGGATCAAACCCGTATAATATTTTGCAAAAGTAAAAGTTGCCCTCGGTAATAATGCAATACAGAATGTAATTTGCTGTGTCCGTGCGTGGGTGGACCGGGATTATATTATCGCGACGCGAACTGCGAATCAATGGCCGGAATGTTTGCGCGCAACGGTCGTTACAATTTCGTCATTGTACCGTGGCGACCAGTTTAAATTAAAGATCGTGTTTAAGGCATTAATGCGGTTGCAGACAATCGCTTACGCGGCTCAATTGAATCGTCTGGACGAGATAATAGCCACCTGTGAATGCGTCCAAGCATAGTGTCGGCGCGTTTGATGTGTGCGCGTATGCCATTTTACGGGCGTAGCAGCACGCATGTTTCGGACCGTAGATCGTTAATCCTGAAAAAGGCACCGATGTCTCCTCGAGAAACGATGTCTTTTCAGATTTTCATCTCTCGATGGGAAAAACTGTTGGTGGTCGAGGGGAAAAAAAAAACAGAACACACAGGACGTGAACGTTGTTTGAAAGAGGACCCGGTCCTTTCGACAAACTTCCAAACGTACAAGTGCCATTAAGTATCAGCGAATTAGAAACTAACGAGACACGCTGTGCTTTCGAAGAGTGTCGAACCGTGGTCGAATATAAATCAGATTCTTATTTCTGGAAAGGTGGTCTATCATAATCAGAGACCCTACGCGTCGACTCTGCATTGTTTTATGTAATGAATTACAACGTTCGCCCGCTATTAGGGTCGCCCGACACTGGGGGAATTTCCCCTAACTAAACACTCAACATTATACGAGCCATTCATTATGAAAATGGTGTAACTCCGTTTATCTCTGATTCGAGATAGAAAAATGCACTTCGACCGAGAAACGTTAATAGGCGGTAATTAATTTGTCCCGAGTTTTTCATGATCGTTGATAAGCCAATTTATCAGACGTTTAAAGTATACATATATTTTATGCTCGTTGCACTACTATGACTATTGAATTACAAACGTATCAAATTGCAACATCGCGGAAGAAGATACATATCACGTTATGTTCACATAAAATTCTCACAAAATAAAGAAGCTTCCACTCGATGGTAAACGGAAATATAATACCAAAGCACGCTTTTAGAATTAATTGACCATGTTGAATTATAATTTCAGATTGCACAGGACGATATAAATTAATACAAAATGTTTCCGACCAAACATAGAAATATACATCGATGGAAAAGATTTTAGACCTTCGGAGGGCAAGTAGGAGGGCGTGACCTAATTTAATAGCACCAACTCGGTCACATAATTTAATAAAAAAATATTACGACCGTATTTTCGGTCTTCTTCAGGTATACGTTTCCAATTAAAAAAGAAAACACGCATAATCGATAATAATAAACGGGTATTGAAAGAACCATTTAATTTGGAATGTGTAAACAGTAATTAAGGGAATCCCCACTGTGACGCTGCATTTTTACAACAAATATCCACGTAACGGAATTACGTATAAGCCCATTTTACATGATTCGAACAAATATTTAAGATCGATTTGCTCGAAAACGAAGCTTCCGGTGACTTTTTAATTTCGAAGCAGGGATCTGGTAGGTGCAAAACGGAGTGCATAATGACTAGATTCGATTGTCGGGGGCAAGGGAATGCGGCTGGAAAGGGACACGCGGCGGAAAGAGGCACGTGACAAACGCGAAAAAGGGACGGTGTGGAAGGACGGTGCTGTGGGTTTCCAAAAGGAGGCATCGGAAGAAGCAAAGAACATTTCTCGGGTCGCCGGTAGGACATCTTTATACGAGCTGCTCGACCCCCCATTGCGAAGACGTCGTCACCCCGTGGCGAACCATAGATTTAGTTGCATCTTTGCTTGCGCCCACCTTCGCGGTACTTTCGTACTTTCCGTGCTCTTTCTACCGACAGACTCGACCGTCTCTCGATCCTCCAAACAATAAACACGGCCAAACTGATTACTAAACTATTACTAGGATTAGGATTTACCAAATCCCGTCGCAAAACCGGGACGTTGATCCTTTTAAATATAACGCAATTGTCTACCGCAGAAATGATCGTTCGGTTCAAAACACATTGATTCGCTTCACCCATCGACTATTACAGCCCCTTTCCAGCCAGTACAGGTACCGTTTTATGATACCGCTTCTATTATGCGGCTGGTTGTTTTGTTCGTTCAATTCCTGGGATCTTGTCCACGTTTAATTAAATTATAAATTAGGATTAAGTCGGGTTAGGTCGTAAAACAGCTTCGTTCGCTGATCCTTTCTTCGTCCTCTCGCTCTATTTGGTATATTGCTTCGGTTACTTTGATGCAAGTTTCAATTTTAACCGTTTTCGAGACTTTTCGTATTTGTTCGTGCCTGAAAGTTTCTCTAGATTCGTTCGAAACCATCGCTAGCCGGGAAGTTGGACACAGGTTGGACGAGCGTATCAAATCGTAGTCCCAGAACGTTCATTACTTCGTTATCATAGACGAAATTCGTATTCGTCACGGTCTCGGGGATCGACTGACTTGTTACTTTTTCCTGCCGGTCGGAAGCCTCGTCGACGGAATTTCTTAACAATATGGAAGAAGCTTGGCATTTTTATAGATAAACAACCTGTGAATCTGTTATTTGTTCAATGGAAATTACAATCTTTATTATATAATATATACATAAATTGTACCAATTTATTGCACATCTGTTTAATAGCTGAATAATTTAATCGATCCAAGTGATTCAACCATGTTTGTACTTAGGGTTTTGCATTTAGGGGAATAAATAAAAATTATTCCTCGAACCTTTTGTAGCGACTCGTGCAAACAATAATATTCGTTACTTTGAAAAATGCCATTTTCTTTCCTTTTATCCGCGTTTCGGACATTTTTGCGCACTGTTGCAGGGAGGAAGGAAACCGTAGAGTCGAAGACTAAAGGACGTTAGTTCGTTTAAACGGTTGGACTGCACGGAATCGGTCCGGTTTTTTTTTTTTTGACAGACGGCGCGAACTGTAATACGAACTGCCGTGGCGAATCGCGGGCAGCCTGTGCCACTCATTACGTCATTATTGGAAGAGTGCGCCTAAGGTTCCGAAACGTTACCGTCGCCGCTGCTGGACGCCGACCTCCAGCCGCGCGTTTCTCCTCTTCCGTTTCTGGACTACGCGGCTCCACGGGTCTCTCTTTTCCACGGGGCATAGGAAATCGGTTTTCCGGAGCGTTTCCATTATTTCGTCCTCTTGTCGGGTTGCCGCGCCGGGGCCCGGGGGACCGGGGGACCGGGGGACCGGGGGACCGGGTGCCCCCGGATGGCGAACGCGCAGGTACCCGGGGAATGGACCAACAAACGACTCTATTTGCTCAACAAAGCGGGGCTGGCGTGGTGACGAGCACTCCGCGCGAGTCACAGACGACTCTGCGAAATGACAATCCGACCACGTGTCCCCCGCAGACTAGAGACGGCGGACTTGGTGAATCGATGA